TATAATGACGTCACTGCATTTTGGAGACGAGATTGTGTTTTTTGTCGACACGAGAGGCGACATTATAATTATATGTACAATCAGTCATGTCGACAGTCTGAATACAAAAAAGGAGTCATATTTGTTTCTACTCCGGCAGGCATAATCAGTTCAAGAAGAAGAGTATTTTTAGAGGTTGTGCGTTTTCCGTTGATATTAGAGAGGTTAAGATGCACGTTATTTCTGACGTGACGCGAAAGTTCAGCTCGCGTTATTGGCTCGCACGTCGAAAAATCAACGCGAGTGACCTGCTGCTCACGTCGAAATTTGGAGTTTTACGCCAAATTTGACGTGAAATTGCGCGTCACGTCGGAAATAACGTGCATCTTAACCTCTTGACTATACGTGTACGTGTGCACTAGTACTAGCTATTTACATGAACGAGGGTGCTGGTTTTGCTAAACCGCGTGGTGTGCGTGCTTGTAAGAAGAAATGCTTTTGTTTGTTTGAAGTTTTATTTTACATCGCAAACCAAACGGGCATTGATGCCCAATATTATGATGGCGATAGAATAAAAAGTGTGGCTCGATAAAGCTTCACTTGCGAAAATGAGAAAACAGTCAAAAGGAAGTATTTGTACCGATAATTACAAGTCAAGTTCGAACGAAGTAACAATCAGGGAGAAATAGGAAGATGAGGACCTATGCCAGAGGGAGGTGCTATTCGGCCATATTAAAACACTTTCAGCAATCTTTTCAAACGGGGTTGGACGACGAGCGGACGTGAGTTCCTGTGGCAGGGTGTTCCAAAGCTTCACGGCGGAAACCAATGGTCGGCTGTCGCCAGATGTTCGCCGAGTTAGCGGAACAACGTATTTGCAATTGCCATTGCCACGGGTGTTACTGGGAGGTTGGAGGGCTACTCTATCTTTCAGAAGAGGGCTGATGCTGCTGGTGTGGACACGGTGCATAAGGAAACTTCGGCGGAGTTTGCATTTGGCACGTTCAATTACAGGGGTCAGGGAAAGGCGAGTGTATATAGGAGTGGTATGGGACGGGAAGGGCAGATTGGCTACGCAGCGAACACATCGCTTGTCGAGGACAGTGAGCTGGTGCCGCTGCTGAGCCGTGAGGGCAGAGAAGAACGCGTTTGATCCATAAAGCATGTCAGGAAGTATAAGGGCAGAATAGAAGAGGAGCGACTGGCGTTCAGATAGCGACGGGCGGATGGTTCTCAGGGTGGTTAGCTTCTGGGAAGTTTTACGTACTATGCTGGAGACCTGCGCGTCCCACCGAAGACAGGAATCGATCTGTAGGCCCAGAAAGCGAGCAGTGGTGGTCTGGGTGAGAGGCGTCCCGTTGCAGTTAACGTTGAGTTACAGGGTACATGTACTACGGCGTGATGCCTCAATGGCTAAGACCTGCGTCTTGTCAGGGTTTAAAACCAGGCCTTTCCCGTGTAGGTAGTCAGCCAAGTTTGACACAGCAACTGATAAGACTTGATTTAGGGTTGCTACGGATCTGCTTGCGGTGTCGAGAAGGATGTCATCCGCAAAAAGCTGGGAGTGTGCTGGGCTGGTGACGCTATGGACGTCCATGGTATAATAGTGAAAACAGCAAAGCCTGAGGACCCAGTACACTACCCTGAGGGACTCCACACTCGCATGCAGTTAGGCCCGAGCACTGCCCACTCGCCAGAACTACTCTCTGTCGACGGTCCGTGAAGTAGCTCGCAAACAAACGCAAAACAGTCGAAGATACACCCAAAGCAAACAAATCTTGGATCATGAGCTGGTGCCGTACTTTATCGAATGCCTTGCTCATGTCCACTAGTACTGCGCCAGTATGTAGCTGGTGGTCTGCTGACGACAGATAGCGGTCCATGGCCAAGGTCAAGGCATCTTCCGTGGAGTGTTGTGGCCGGTACGCAAACTGATTGGCGGGCAAAAGTGAATGGGTTTGTAAGAAGTCACACAGGCGTTTGTGGACTATCTTCTCCAAGATCTTCGATGCTATTGGCAGCAAAGATATGGGACGGTAATTGCGAGATGCGTTCTTGTCACCAGACTTAAATAGGGGTCGAACATTTGCAATCTTCAGGGAGACGGGCACAATGCCAGACGAAAGGGATGCATTAATTAATATGGATAGCGACGGGGCGAGGGCTGCTGCATAATGCTTCAGGATGAATGCCGGAACACTGTCGCTGCCCTCAGCTTTACGAGCATCGAGTCTCACGAGAAACGTGAATACCTCCTCAACACTAGTGGCCTGGAATTCCCGCAAAGGTTCCCGTGGTGACGGACCACTAGGTAAGAATAGCTGCACAGGTCTACTTGGATCGGAGACTACTCCACTGAATTGCTCGCTGAGTGCTGCTATACTGACAGAGGGTGAAGTGGGAGTTTTGGTCCGGCCGCTGAGCTCGTTTATTGTCTTCCAAGTGAGGCGCGCATTTGCCTGACTCCGTGTGAGAAGATTCTTGTAATACTGGGCCCTGAGGCGTCGGGACATTCGCTTAGCCTCGGCTCGTGCTGATGTGAATACAGTTCGTAGATCCATGTCAGTCGGCGAGGCTCGCCAGCGACGATGTGCTGCGTTGCGAAGTAGAATAGCGTCGTGGAGGGCAGGTAATTTCCAAGGACAGGGCGTGCGGGAGGAAGATTTAGGCCGATACGTTCGGACAGGAGCGTGCTCGTCCAAAACGGAAACAATCTTGTCAGTCCAAGAATACCACATGGCATCCACAGTCTGAGCGGTTGAAAAATTCTCCAGGTCACAATGATGCAAGTCATGAGCGAATCGGTTCATATCGATCCTTGCTAGGTTACGACCGCACTTGACAGCAGGAGGTTCCACAGTGCACTTGAAAGGTAGGTCAATTACGACCGCAAAGTGGTCGCTGGTGGTACAAGGGAGAACCGTGCAGGAGGTTATCGCTCCATCCACAGCTAGGGCGAGATCCAGTGTTGTTCTGCTGCCGTGGGGGGCAATGCGGGTAGTGTCCTGCACCTTGTTGCTGATATTGAACTGGTCGCAGAAGCGATGTAAATTGTCGAGCTGAGGTGCTTGGCGCCGGCTTACGTCGACATTGAAGTCGCCCGTTAAAATCAGCGGGGACGATGGCATTGACGCCGCTGCTGTGTCAACTGAGTTGGACAAGTCCTGCCAAAATTGTACTGGCGTGCCTGGAGGTCGATACACTCCTCCTAGGAGAATCCGGTTTCGATGACTTCTGATCTCCAGTAGCAAAAGTTCTATGTTGGTGTGGTCTCCCACCACTTGTGCTTGAAAGCGATTGTGGACATAGGCTGCTAGGCCAAATCCATGACCGGGACGATCCCTCCGGAAAAGTGCATGGTTAGGTATGCTGAGCAAGCTGTCTGCGGTAGAGCTAGATAGAAAGGTTTCCGCCAGTATCATGATATCAATGTTTTGAGATCGTATGAAATCCTCAACTTCATGCTTTTTATTAAGAAGGTGGCACACATTGAGGAACTCAACTCTAAGATTAAGACTAAGGCCGTTGTTGCTTCAGCCATCGACGGTCGGAATGACGACAAACCTGTCATTTCGTGCCGTTTGATTTGAGCAGTAGCACCGGGACAATACTGACACATATCGTGTGACATGCCTGTGGCAGCAAACATAGTGTACCGACGGCGACGGATCAAAAACAGCCCCAATGTGTGTCACTGCGGCAACGGGCTGTAGGGAAGCCCATTTGCAAAGCTGCCGATTTTCGTCGTCTTTCTATGCTTAGGGTACGTTTTTTATTTTTTTATTTTTTACTAAGGCCACAGCTTCCAATCATGACATGCAAAGCAGCGGTGCAGCATCGCAGGCATGAATCGTGGACGTGGTGACGGGGTCTGATGTGCTCCACCGACCTAGGGTCTCGGCTTCACTGCACAGCAAACGCGTCGAAAGGAAATGAGGGCTAATAATTATCGGGAGATGGGGGGGGGGGGAGAAGAAGAGAAGAAAGAGAGAGAGAGTGAGAGAGAGAGAGAGAGAGTGAGAGAGAGAGTGAGAGAGAGAGAGTGAGAGAGAGAGAGAGAGAGAGAGAGAGAGAGAGAGAGAGAGAGAGAGAGAGAGAGAGAGAGAGAGAGAGAGAGAGAGAGAGAGAGAGAGAGAGAGAGAGAGAGAGAGAGAGAGAGAGAGAGAGAGAGAGAGAGAGAGAGAGAGAGAGAGAGAGAGAGAGAGAGAGAGAGAGAGAGAGAGAGAGAGAGAGAGAGAGAGAGAGCTGGGAGATAGAAGAGCACAGTGCTCTTGGTGATGAGGACTGCGAAGGATAGCAAGTTCTGGGACATGTGCATGAGAATCAGAATATCGGTGATGATGGCAGCAGGGTTATAAGGTAAGCAGCTGAACACTAATAAGAACAGGGAAAGCGTTGGCGAGCAGATTCAAAGTGCATCAGTAGCAGAGAGCCAGTCCTGAGCAAGAAGGTGACGGTACACCTTTTTCTTAAAGCTTTGCATGTGGGGCTGGGCGGGTGGGTGGTGGAACAGGTCTGGTGGCAGGGCATTCCATGTTACAACGGTGCAAGCAGGGAATCCTTGGAGACAGCTATTCCGGGTGTTGGCAGGCAGGCCAGTTGTCATTTGGTATGGATGGGAATCCTGCAGCTGGAGAGACTGATGGGTAGGTCTTGTCTCGGGGGCACGGTGAGTGGCTGGTTTGGGCAGCATCTGCTTCAGAGGGCTGGATGCATCTAGATAGCAGAGCTTGTAGGTATAGGCAAGTGCAGCTACCAGGCGACGGAGTGCCGGGCTAGGGAGCCAAGTACCTGATCCGATGATGTGGAGGGCCCTTCGCTGGATCTGGTCCAGCTTCTTAAGATGGGACGAGGGTGAGCCCATCCACACTAAGGGGCAATACTCGAGTGTGGGTCGCACAAAGCCGGTGTAGACGCGTTGGCGGCTCTCGGCGTCCAGAATGGGAGGCGCTCGCTTCAGGAAGCCAATCCGCTGGTTAGCACGGGAAGCTAGGGAGCGGAGGTGGAAGGAGTAGCTCAGGGTGTCGTCAAAGGTGACTCCCAGGAGTTTCAGCCGACTCTCTTCACTGACCGGTGTGCCGCCAAATGTTGCTCGAGGGAGCTCCCAGGGCTGGCGATGGTGGCCTATAGACATAGCCTGCGTCTTGGAGGGCTCAATTTCGATCCTCCACTTATGTCCCCAACGGGAAAACGCATCAATGCCCTGCTGGAGGAGCTCAGAGCCACAATCAATGTCAGCTCTTGATGTGAGGCAGTGGAAGAGAGTGGTGTCGTCAGCGCAGGCTGCTAGCTCCATACCTGGTGGGAGGTGGTCCTCGCCATCATTGGTGTAGAGGATGAACAGGGTGGGACCAAGGATACTGCCCTGCGGCACGCCAGCTTTGGTCGGGTACGGACTGGAAAGTTCACCTCCAACTGCAACCCTCAAGTGACGATCAGTCAGGTAATCCCTCAGCCAAGCGAGAAGTGGACCAGTTACACCATAGCATTGTGCCTTGTGCAAAACGCCTGCATGAGAGACGCGGTCGAATGCGCCAGCCACATCAACTGCAATGACTCGAACCACACCACCTCTGGCTGCAACGCGACTCCATTGGTAGTTGAGTAGCGTGAGTATGTCCTGGGTGCCGAGTTGGCTGCGGAAGCCATACTAACTTTTCGATAAGATGTTGTGTGCCTCCAGGAACTGTCGGATTGAGTGGTTGATAATGGCCTCCATGACTTTCGACAGAATAGAGAGGAGGGAGATCGGGCGGTAGTTCTTAACAACGTATCATCAAGAGTCACTCAGTGTCAGTGTACTGGTTAATGTACTCTTGGTATCATGCCCAAGGCATAGGCCAAAGCACGAAAGCCTTACAGGGACGCCACCCAAATGCACCAATTATCCACCCACACTCTCCACGTGAGTTGCAGTGTACCGTGCTGCGGATGAAAACCGCGCCTCGGGTGAGCCATTTACCCACCCAATATGACTAAGACTACATCAGCCATCATTCAGGAATACACCATAGGCATTGAAAACCTGCCTATACAATTATTGTCTCCAAGTTATACCGGAATGCCTATATTTGTTGTGAGAGTGCATTGCTGTAACCAAAAACGTAAGAATGTAACACAGAAGATGATCCCAAACCAGCAAAAAATGGAACGTGGGAAGAAAAGCACTGTAGCCCGGTAGGAAGCAAATACTAGACTAAACGGAAAGTATCCAAGTTGTTGGAGTAGTAACTAGTAAGCAACTAAAATCTGCTCGTCCAGTGATATCAACCGATCCAGCACATTCTTACATCGAAACATTCGAAATCCCTGGCCTAATCATGCGGCTCTGGCAACACGCCTATCCACTGCCCAAGACTAACACCGGAGCAATACATTCAATCTGATCTCCTTACCATCAGCCTTTTAGACCGTTTTCGTGGTCCATCTCCATTGGCCGTATTTGCCAACCACGATGGAAACATTTAGAGCAATACATTCAATCTGATCTTACCACCAGCCTTTAAAAGACTTTTGGCGGTCCACCTCCATTGGCCGCATTTGCCAACCATGATGCAAACATTTAGAGTTAATTACCGGTAGCAGACACAAGAGCACTCAAGCTGGAGCAAAACACATTCAATCTGATCTCCTTACGATCAGCTTTTTAGACCGTTTCCGTGGCCCAGTCCACCTCCATAGGCCGTATTTGCCAACCATGATGCAAACATTTAGAGTTTTCTAGCAGACACGAGAGAATTCAGACTAAGGAATGAAGCAAGCTCCCGGCAGGCTTTCTACAGTCAACATTCTGAAGCTTCCAAAAGTACTTTCATTGCCTTCTCTTCAGGTGAATACACGCAGAAGATCTTCAGGTGAGTACATGCAGAAGAGGACAGTACTACTAGTAACTGAAATAAATACAATAATTACTTTAAACAACGTAGAAGTGAAGAAGAGGTTGGTGCGACTTCGGCGATATGTAGGGAATTGTGTGTAGAAGTGATACATGTAAGCAGCGGGTAGATTAGCGATAACAAGTGCATGACAGATTGAGAACAAATGGAGTAAGTGCCGATTCTCACGCACAGATAGAGGTAACAACACCGTTCTCTTTTCCCAACTCCAATGTTCATTGTACATACACAAACAGGAGATCCCCCCCGATAGGCGTCAGCCTTTGGGTGATCCTGAAATAAAGATTACTATTATAAGAGTATTACAAATCCTATAGTAATGTGCTAGTCACGTGATTTGGATGCGATCACTGATCAGCGTGATCGGCGCACTGTGATCCCTCAATAGCCTCAATAATCTGAGACGACAAACTATTACTTGCGAGTGAACCGAACTAACGATGTGCTGATGTCCTACCTGACAGCTTGAGCGTCATTGTGTTCAGTTTCTGCTTGCAAAGAAGGTTTTTATTGTGTGAATGTAGACAGCATTCAAAACACTTAGCAAATTAGCACTGTGTACATGTACATGTGGCAGAATTGAAGAAAAACCTTCTCAATAGACGTCACAGCATTCCGGTTGCTTAGCTAACATGCATGGTAGATGACCCAGTGTGTCCTTGTGAAGGCCATTGGCACCTTGGTGGGAACATGGTGCAAGGATGGTCAACGCAACGCTGTAGTCATCACGGTAGGAGTGGGCACGAACACCTCGCCAGCAAAGCGCAGACAGTGAAGAAAGTAGCACAATACACTGATAGTGTAGTATCCCTGCCCGACCAATACGGAAGCAGTACGGAACTAATACGGAGCTTGCCTGATGTATATTTAGTGTATCTCCGTATGTAAGCGTACGTCGTCTGCTGCATAAAAGCGGCTGCGCATTTCTGTTTTGATGAAGAGAAGATTAGATTAGATTGGATAGCAATAAAAGCTAACTCGAAGAATAAGGATTCAGCCTCTAGGTGAGCACCGGAGAGAAAGTCAGTTATTTTGCCGCTTCTTCTTTCACGAACGATTATATCTCAGGTGTGTACCTGAAAGTAGAATAAAAGTAATTATTGTTAATTTCACCGCGCCTACCACTCGGCTACCTATTACATTGGTGGCAGCGGTGTGTTTTTGTAAAATAAAACAACGTGATTCGACCCCAGACCCCCATGGCTCAACCCGCAGCTTCGTGCGACGAATCAAGATGAGAATCATGTTTCTTGCCTTCCTGGGCCTGGCCCTGCTTATTAGCTTGCAGCACAGTCAGGGTGCTAGCGTGGATCACCCTTCCCTCCGCATGGCACTCACTGGAGACTCCGATGGCGATTCCAAGCGACCCGCTACCTACATGTATACTACCGGTGGTGATGGCGAAGCTGATGAGGACGACGACATGCAGGCTGCTGACCAAGACAAGGAGGGTATTCCCCAAGACCAGCAGCGTTTGATTTTCGCCGGCACGCAGTTGGCAGACGGCCGAACCCTGAGTGACTACAACGTTCAGCAGGAGTCCACTATTCACTTGGTACTTCGTCTCCGTGGTGGGATGCAGATTTTCGTCAACACTCTTCCTGGCTAGACCATCACTCTTTACGTCGCGCAAAGCGATGCTATCGACAATATGAAGACCATGATTCAAGACGAGGAGGGAGGTTATTTGTCTGACGCCGAGCTAGCCGCTCTGAGTGACCGGCTCAACCAAGATGAAGATAACACCTGGCTTGCTCTCCGCCGTAGCTCCAGCCGCCGCCGTGGTTACTAACGCTGATTCCAGGTATGGCATTTTCTTTCCTGTCTTCCTTCAGTCTCCCTGTTCTCTTCAGTCTTCCTTTATGCGAGTGTGTGAATCCAGTTTAGTTTGGTAGGCGTCTGATCATGGTGAGCCACGGTTTACCCAGCTAATGTGGGACAATGTGTGTGACAACGCCCCTTATAGTTATAGTGTATTCAGTTCGGTTTTTGAACTCCGATGTTCCTGGCGGGTTGTGCCAGCGTTGTGCAGCAAGAGTGCTGTGGATTTTCAGGTCCTATTTGGAGGACAGTTCTTTCCCCTTTTGACCCCGTGAGATCGTGTGAACCTGGTGTGCTTCTACTTTATGCTTTGTTATCAGTTCATTTCTTCTGTCTACTCTAAACATTATCATTTCCGATATAATTTGCCATCTTCCGGTTGACGCTGTGTTCGTAACTCTTCACTAATTTTTTGAAAACCACGAGGGCGTGATAATCTGTAGGAAGGGAGGGTGTAGTATCCCTGCCCGACCAATACGGAAGCAGTACGGAACTAATACGGAGCTTGCCTGATGTATATTTAGTGTATCTCCGTATGTAAGCGTACGTTGTGAAGACTTTTTCGAGCTCCGTAGTTTTTCGTGCGATTTATCAGCCCAGCCGGCACCAGGCCGGTCTGGAGGTAGTTACAGGGTAGAAGAGAAGAGTTCGAGTGGTGAGTAGTAGATAGTCTAGGTAGTACTAGTAGGTAGACACAGGTAGCTATGCCGGCCAGAACTGCCACTCGCAGCCTGACGGAATCGGAAATAAAACTTTTGAGCTCCATCCCTGAAATTGAATCGTCCGTCTTTGAAATGGTCAAGACGCTGTCAGCGCTCGTGTCGGAATCTGCAAACCGGGAGGTCCGTCTCAAAAACAGGATTGACGAACTGGTCATGCAGATAACAGGACTGAAAGAGGAGGTTGTCGCCATGAAGGAGTCCGCCATTGCAACGGCAAGTGTAACCTCTCCTCCGGCTGAACAACAGCCCCAGATGCAGAGTACGACGAGGCGGAAGGGATCTCGTAGCCGTACGCGAAGAGACCAGGTCACCAAGTGCACTGGTGCAGCAGCAGGAGAACACCGTAGCGCTTTCAAACGCGTACACGTGGATGACACTGGCAGTGATCGTGAGATCTCGAGCGAGGAAGACGAAAGTTTTCAGACTGTTGGGCGCCCTCCAGTCAAGCCCCAGAAAACATCGTTCGACCCAATCGCTGATGAATCGTGGAAACTAGTATCCAAAGAACCCCACCAAACAAGGAAGGCAGTCGTGTATGTGGGAAATCTGCACGCGGATTGCACAGAGGAACGAGTGACAGAGTTCACTCAGCAGCGATCTGTGGCCGTGGCCAAATCCGTCAAAGTCCATGAGTGCAGCATGCACACCACGGAAGACGGGAAAGTCTCAGCCCGATTGACGCTCGACGCCACTGGATTAGAAACAGTCACTGCTGCGAACTTCTGGCCACGACCGCTTTACGCTCGAGCCTGGCGACACCGCAAACGGCCGCAGGGTGACAGCTCATCTGGTGCAGCTGGCGCCGGCAACGTGGGCAGCAGAGGCGATAGGGACAGTGAGGAAGAGGCTGCCTCAGCTGGAGCGATTCAGTCACACAAACACCAATGAACACCAGCTTCGCAAGGACATACCCAGTAATGAAGCTCCTGCTGACAAATGCTTTTGGGCTGCTGTCAAAGTTTGGAGCCTTCCAGCATGCTGTTGCACGGAGCAGATCTGACATCGCCATCGTAACAGAGACTAAACTCACCCCGGAGAAAGCCTCACTATCTGACTCCTCCATGCCGGGCTTCCACCCACCCCTCCGACTTGACCGATCTGCTCAAGGTGGCGGAGTTGCGGTCTGGGTCCGGGACTCCCTCTCCTTTGACCACCTGAGTGACATCAACTGCCATGGCCATGAGGTCATCTGGCTTCGCCTGCACCTGGACAATGGCCAGAAAGTAGTTGTATGTGCAGTGTACCGACCCGGGTCGTGCCCTGGACAAGATGTCTCTCTGCTTGAGTATCTTGACTCAGTCATGGATCAAGCTCGATCCCTCGGGAACAGCGTCGTGATAGCCGGGGATTTAAATGTTCATAATGAAAGCTGGCTATGCAGCACGAAGACTACACCGGCTGGTGAATACATGGAAGAACTCTCTGCGTTCCACGGGCTCCACCAGCACGTTACTCAACCGACACGTGGTGAGAACACCCTGGACCTCATACTCAGCGACTTCTCGGAGACCTCAGTGGTGGTAAATGTACTGGACCCCATTGGAGCATCAGACCATGCCACCGTTGTGGCCACTTTTGATGCCACCCCACTCCGCGAACCACCGACTAAACGGCGCGTTTGGAGGTATGCTCAGGCAGACTGGGGCCGGCTTCGGCACTTCTACTCAACAGCAAACTGGGATATATCAGAAGACCCCGAGGCGTCGTGCAGATCAGTAACCGCTGTTGTCATGGAAGGCATGAATCGCTTCATTCCACACAAAGAACTTTCGACGAAACCAACAGATCCATCCTGGTGGACGCCGGAATGCTCAGCCGCTACCCAGGCAAAGAAGAATGCATGGAACCGTCTCAGGAGACACCCCACCTGCCACCAGCAACTCATTGACTACAATGCCAAAGTCCGAGCCTCTGCCAATTGCCTTCGTCTCGCAAAGCAGGCAGAATCTGCCCGCATCCGAGATCGGCTCAAACATGGATCACTGCGAAACAAGCAATGGTGGTCACTCCTGAAGCAAGCTGCAGGCTCTGGCCGCAGCTCGTCTATCCCTGTCCTACGCAATGCCCAGGGTAGAGAATATGTCACCAACCAGGAAAAGGCTACTTGCTTTGGAGAATTCTTTGCGAGCAAATGCAGTCTGGGTGATCAAGATCTACAGCACTCCGACCTTCCTGACCTTCCTCCTAGGTGTACATCTGCCCTGACAACTGTCCGGTTTCGGGAAGCGACAGTCCAGCGCCAGCTCCGCCAGCTGGATCCAACCAAGGCTACTGGACCCGATGGCATCCCTGCCAGAGTTCTGAAGCAGTGCTCAAAAGTTTTGGCTGCACCACTTGCCAAGCTGTTCTCACTCTGTTTTCGGTGTCATGTCCAGCCCTCTCTCTGGAAAGTAGCCCGTGTGGTCCCGATACACAAGAAGCAATCTCATTCTGCTGTTAAGAACTACCGACCTGTGTCCTTGTTATCTGTTGTCTCCAAAGTCATGGAGAAGATTGTCAACACTGCCATAATGAATCATCTTGAGCATGAAAAGGCTCTGTCCATCCACCAGTACGGATTCCGGCAGGGGCTCAGCACATCTGACCTTCTCACGTCTCTCAACCACTCCTGGGTCTCCGAAGTCAACCGTGGTGGCGCAGTCCGCGTGCTGGCTGTCGACATAGCAGGAGCATTCGACAAAGTTTCACACCGAGGCGTGCTCCACAAGGCTGCATCATATGGCATCACTGGTCCCCTCCTCAACTGGCTGTCTGACTACCTGTATGACAGGAAGTTGCAGGCAGTAGTCGGCGGAGCATCTTCAGAACCATACAAGATTGATGCTGGGGTCCCACAAGGGAGCATCCTTGGGCCCACACTGTTTTTGCTGTACGTGAATGACGCCTGCGACGTCCTACCGGAAGGGATCACTCCGGCTGTTTACGCAGATGACACCACGCTTTATGCCCACATCCCAACGCCACATGCTGTGACAGAAGTGTGCCGCAACCTCCAAGCTGGTGTGGATGCACTTGCTGAATGGGGTGCTCAGTGGCGCGTCACTTTTGAGCCAACGAAATCACAGGCCATGACTGTGTCCCGCCACCGCAGACCCTGGGAGACACCACCCATCATGTTCAACGGCTTAGCGGTCCCAGAATGCTCGCGGCTGAAGCTCCTTGGAGTGACGTTTGATGCCCATCTAACATACTCAGAGCACCTTCGAGGAACTGCAGTGCGTGCCACACAGCGAATTGGTTTCTTCCGGAAGGCGTGCCACGTCCTGGACCCACCGGGCCGGGCCACAGCATACCGGGGGTTCATTCGGCCTCTAATGGAGTACTGTCCACTTGTATGGATGGGAGCTGCGGCTACCCATCTCTCACAGCTGGACCGAGTCCAGCATCGTGCCCTCACCCTGATTGGGACAGGGGCTGCAATGGACACTCTGTCCCTGCGGCGCCGTGTGGCCGGCCTCACAACTCTGTACAAGCTCCATTACATCGCAAGCCCGCCAGCTCTTGCAGCGACACGCCCAGCCAGAGCCATCGCACCCGCCATCGCGCCTGCCACACGTCGCCGCTCGGCAGCCAATCTTGCGCACGAGCTTCAACTCCAGACAGCCCTACCTGCCAGATCGTGCAATGTTGCGCTGCGCTCTTTCCCGGAGTGCCTCATCGAGGCCTGGAATGAACTGCCAGCCACTCTCCTCTGCGATGCACCGTCTGCCAAAGGGATGCAGCAGTTCAAGGTTCAGACCTACCGCTACCTGAAACGGTCGGGTTGGTCATTGGCCACGGACATCGCCCCCTAGGCTACTGCCAGTACGACCCTGTTCATGTTCTCGGAGCACTCCCTTCTCATCAAACTCCCAATCCATCTGTCTTTATCTCTCTCTAACTCTCCTCCATTCTAACTCTAATCTTTCGTCAAATCTGCACGGCAATCAGCCTCTACTTTCGCCTCAGCATCATGATCTTGATACTGCTATATTTGTACTTGTTTGCGTACTTTTTGCACTCATATCTTGGAATAACAAGTTTCCTGGTTTCCTACCCCTCCTCTCTTTCCTACCCTTAGAGTTCTTGCTCTCCTGCTCCCCTCCCCGCCCTTCCACTCCCCATTTTGTTTCCTTTGGTGCACATGTGCAGCTGTGATGCCGAGACCCTTGGTCGGCTGAGCTTCACAGGTCCCACCCACTCCGTCCTGCTGGATATGTACCATTGTGTCGAGTTCTTCTCCTCATTTTAGTTCATCACGCAGTGAGTGTTCAATAGTAAAAAAAAAAAAAAAAAAAAAAAACGTCGTCTGCTGCATAAAAGCGGCTGCGCATTTCTGTTTTGATGAAGAGAAGATTAGATTAGATTGGATAGCAATAAAAGCTAACTCGAAGAATAAGGATTCAGCCTCTAGGTGAGCACCGGAGAGAAAGTCAGTTATTTTGCCGCTTCTTCTTTCACGAACGATTATATCTCAGGTGTGTACCTGAAAGTAGAATAAAAGTAATTATTGTTAATTTCACCGCGCCTACCACTCGGCTACCTATTACAATAGTGATACAGTGTCGGACTCGTATGAAGTACAGTTTTTCGTGAACAAAGCTACATGACATTGTACATGTAGTGCAGGCGATAGTCGTGCAAGTATTATCGTGCAAGCAAAGTATGAATGCTGTGTTATCGGTGTGAAAAATATCAGACGCGAGATTATGTACCCCCACGGGCCACCTCGCAAGCATTATTATTACGTGGATAATGGTAGGGCTGTGTTTCACTGTGCCTCTGAGGACAATCAAAGTCAATCCGATTGTTTTTAGATTGTTTTTGGCTCAGTTCTGACTGAAGCTATTTCCCGCTGGACGCGTTTCTTTGAGATGATTCTGCTTGCTTTGGTTCGGAGAAAAATTCCTTTGCACCTACCTGTAGAGGCTAGAGTCATGGAAGTACTCCTACAGTTGTAGTCTGTTAGTATGTAGAAAGTGGAGGTATATTGTACACTGTACTGCTTTAATAATAATGATGTCATCAGTCGGGCATTTAAGCTTGGCCGCTGGATCTGCTCAACGGGAAAGGAAAATCCTTTTGGACTCTCGATAAGCGTAATGCTGACCATTGATCATTGATGGACTGCCCGTGTATTGTACTTGGGTGGATTATTCCAGTCTAAGCCAGGAACCAAGTAAGTGCAGTACAATCATGTTCCAGTACATCTGACGGTAACACAATGAGAAAGAGCTTGGCATGCCTGCTATTCCTCTTCATGTTTTGTTCTGTTACTGCCTCTTGTTGTCCGTGTCGATGTTTACAATCATGTACACTTCTAGCACATGTATTATCTTGTTGCCTACCTCATATCAAGAGTACATAACCTAAATAGGGGGTTATGTACTCTTGCTCATATCAAGGCTCTCAACCAAACCATTCATCCGTGGCCTCGAAGCGCGATAGTGGTGGATTCGGCATTTTGCACCGTTCTCACCAGTGCTCACCCTTTTTCGCCTTTTGCCGTTTTGGGAGGGAGGAAGGGGGGGGGGGGAGAGATGAGTGCGTGTTATACATCACAATGCTGTACTGTAGCATCCGACCTCCACGGGGCCGGGGAC